TGAATGCCTTGCTATTGGGCAAGTTGTAATTATTCTATCTATTCAGCTAGTACAGGTTACGTTTAACGCTGCCAGGAGACGTAGGGAAATAAACACAATGTTAAACTACGCAGCAGAAAGGCGAGGACGAGGGACGAGGCAGGAAAGCAGAAACAGCTGAACGTCACGTGAGGTAAATATGCGCTACGTCAGAATTTATTCAGCAAACGTGTTTCCATCTCCTGTTTTGCACATTAGCCACTTTGTGAATCATCCAAAAACCACCTCAAGCGAGCGTAAAAACTTTTTTGCTAACTGAGGATTTTTTTTCGAATTTTGCTGTTTCCATCTGACTTTTTTTTCCGCATTTTTAATGTGACACTTCTAAATGCTCATCAAAAAGCTTTGATGGAAACACGGTCTGTGTCTCCTAAATGTTTACATTTAATTAGTTTTATTATTTTTTCCCACAAGTCTTTTTGTTTCCATGTGTTGCTTTAACATTTCTGTTTCCTGTATTTACGTTACATCATGTAGTTCTGCCTCGTTGAGCAAATAAGGTGCAGTAGTTAGCTTAAAGTTTAGCTTAAAACAAAGGTACACCTAAGTGTTTTCTGTCTTGCTTTTGTTATAAACTAAACTTTAAGCTAAACTGAGGCAGCACCAGCATGCCCATGGATCCTGCTCCTTCCTGTCTGTTGACTATTATGTTTTTTATTGTTCAATCAAACACAAAAGCAGTTTCAATTAAAAAAAATCAGAGATCAGCTGATTAAAGTTTGAAACATGTCTGAGCAGACCTGTAAAACTCAGCTCTCAGTCTGTTAGCATGTTAGCAATATCTGGGGCGACCCCCGGCTACAGCCTGGGTCTCCATGCCGCAGATCGAGTGCTTCTCCCCGGTCAAAGGACAGCGAGTCGGGTTGGTCACTTGAGCTCAGTGTCCCGTGGGAGGAGCTAAACCTGCTGTGCCTAGAGGCACGTTATCAGCCATAAAACTGATTGATAAGAGCCTTCCAACATACTGGGAGGTAGAGGAGGGACAGTCTGCACACAATGTATGGGACTGATAACCTCTAATAATGGTCATTTAATGTATTAATTCTATTTGAAATGAGTGAACCGGGAAATAACGTCAGTCTGCACTAACCAATAGGGACACGTCTTACAGTAGTTCCTCCTTAGGCCCCACCCTAGATGTCCATGTTCTCTGGGTTCAAAACATTTTTGAGTTCAACCAAAAACTTAGAGCATCAACCAAACGTTTGAGACTCAAACAAAGATTTCTGACGGGAAAAAAAAAAGTTTCTGTTTCGCAAAAAACTTTTTGATGGAATTTTTTCATTAAAATTGCTTTTTTGTTTGGTTGAAAATATATTTTTTCATTGAGAAAAAATTGATAGAATATTTTTGTTCGTTGAAACTGCTTCTTTGTTTGATTGAACAATATAAAATAAAATACCCTCCTCAGTTGACCAATAGGGGAGGAGCTTACCCAGGAAAGACCACCCACCTTATTTGCATAACGAGGCAGAAATGAACACGGTAAAGTAAAACAGGACACAGATATATGAAAAAACAACACATGGAAATAACACTTAAATATAATCAAAGAGACACATGTACAAGTAAAAAGAAAAACAACAAATATATATGTTTTTAAAACAGTAAGATGTAAATGATGTGCTAAAATATATAATTTATTGAAACTAAGCCGGGAAAATAAATATGAAGGTTATTTAAATTATAAAACATGAGGTAAAGTTCTTCTTTTTAATTTCATTGGTAAATTTCTGTTGTATTTATTTTTATTGGTCCATTTCTACACATTTCTGCTTTTATTTTTAATTATGTYAGAAACGGTCCTCCACACTTCTCAGCATAAACCAGTAAAACTTAAAACTTAAAAGCACATTTCACACACAGTTTCACAGTTTTCAGCTGCATCTAGAAGCAGCTTGTGTTTGTCGATTAGTCCTTGACGTTTTATTTTATTTTTTACAATAAAAGTTTAGGGATTGGAAAAAAAAGTGATAATAAACACTTAGAGTGAAAATAAAAGGATAAAGTGATCTCTGATCATCTGTTCACCTGATCTTTTGTGGCATCGGGAGCAGCTGCCTCCTTTTTGGGTGTTTTAGGAGTTACCTGCAAAACAACAGAAGCAGCGTCAGCAGAAAAACAACGGCAGCAGGAGAAGCTGTAGATTTAAACTCTGAGGTACAGTACAGGTGCTGGTCATAAAATTAGAATATCATGAAAAAGTAGATTTATTTCAGTAATTCCATTTAAAAAGTGAAACTTGTATATTATATT